TAATGAATAAAAATCAACTGAGAGAAGAATTGATTAATTCGGAATAATAAAAAAAATTACAAAGAAGGGAAAAGGATGTTATTGTTAGAATTTTAGATAGAAAAAAAAATATAAAATAGAATCACCTAATGAATCTTCAAATGAATATGATGGTTGGGAAGAAGAAGACAATTATATTAGAAAATAGGAAACACGTAGAAATTAAAAAGAAGTTGTAGATTTAGTTTAGTATGCATCCAAACTTTAATATGTGATAAATATAGCTAAACAGGAACTCAAGATATTGGAAGAAACTATGTATACAAATCATACATAAAAATTATTATGAACTTTTAAGGGGATTAAAAATAATTATCTTATAAATATTTAAATTATCTCACATTATTCTGATATTTAAGATGATTGTATTAATTTTTTCCTTATTAAATAAAATTTGATTACTTCTATCTTATCTAAGAAATCACATTTAATCATCTTGATTATTTGAGTCTTTTAAGAAAAATATCAAATAAACGTAAGTACGCATAAATGATGAAAAGTTATTAATTAATTTATCAAGTTACATTTAAATACAGATAATTAAATAATAAAGAATTCAATTCCTAAAAAAAATAATAGTGATAATATATATTCATAGAAAAATAATTTATGTATTTTAAATAATTTATTATTATTTAATGATCACAATCTAAACACTGGATAACGAACCTTATCGTTTTTCCTAGATCCACAAGGGATTCCACCATAAACATCACAAGGACATCTTTATGGTTCGTATTTTTCATCAACACAAAATGAAACACTCACTAATAATAATTTATTATTTGAATCTTTAGTGCATAATAACTAAGCTGATGATCCAATTTCATTTTCAATCGCATCTAATATGCTGTCTGTATCATAGAATTTATGGTCATCTGGTTTAATGCCAGCAGCAGATAAAATATCATAGATATTGTAAGATTTCCATAATTAAAGTGTTGTCTAAAAATACTCTTCTTATATATTCATTCCAGGAACTTAAGGTACTAAATCATCCTTTTCATCCCAACAAGTACCATGTTTATTCCATTCATGTCTACAAATTTATTAAATTAATTACGCTCTAAATGATCCTGATGGATTAAAAAAACCAACCCATGCTTAATCCAAATTAGTCATTGTTGTCTTTGAAAGATTAGATTCTTTGAATTTATTATTGGTACAGGCTTCGAGTTCTTCACAATCCCCACTATCATTTGTAGCTCCTGGCCATAATCCATGAATGGCCCATGATTATCCCTTATAATTTCCAACATTTTCTTTATAGCATTATTTTGTTAAACAAATGCTTCCAGGCCATGATAGCTATACTAATATATATTTTAGTTTACCTAAAAGGTATAGAACATATTTGGCACTTCATATGAAATACCAATTGTAATCAAAAGAAGAATTATCAAATTTTTAGACATTAAATAAAATATTAATATTATTTAAAACGATAATAATTAATATAAGATGTTTCTATTAGTTATTTTTATACATAAACCATTTTCTCTTAATAATATAATTATTGACCATAATCATAAATCTACTATATTGCAAATTTTAATTAATTGAAATAATTGTAAATTTATTTATGCAATTTTTGAGAATATTTCTGCTTTAATTGCATAATATTTTTTTTCTTTTTGAATTTATAACTAAAATTGATACAAAATATAAATTATTATTATAAATAATAGTTTATATAAATGGACATATACTTATTATTTTCAATAATAATGAATTCTTATTAAATCTATTTAGCCTTTATTCTATTATCTAGTACAAAACATCCTTTAGATAGAATAAAATTTGAATTAATGATTCTATTATATCAATTTAAAATATTTATACCTTCTTAAGTATTATTTATTAGATTTAAAGAGTTATATCATTAAATGAACTATGTATTAATTTGATAGTTAACAATTTTAAATTAGCAGATGAGGATACTTAAATTAGAATTCAATGAATTAAAAAAAAAAANTGATCACAATCTAAACACTGGATAACGAACCTTATCGTTTTTCCTAGATCCACAAGGGATTCCACCATAAACATCACAAGGACATCTTTATGGTTCGTATTTTTCATCAACACAAAATGAAACACTCACTAATAATAATTTATTATTTGAATCTTTAGTGCATAATAACTAAGCTGATGATCCAATTTCATTTTCAATCGCATCTAATATGCTGTCTGTATCATAGAATTTATGGTCATCTGGTTTAATGCCAGCAGCAGATAAAATATCATAGATATTGTAAGATTTCCATAATTAAAGTGTTGTCTAAAAATACTCTTCTTATATATTCATTCCAGGAACTTAAGGTACTAAATCATCCTTTTCATCCCAACAAGTACCATGTTTATTCCATTCATGTCTACAAATTTATTAAATTAATTACGCTCTAAATGATCCTGATGGATTAAAAAAACCAACCCATGCTTAATCCAAATTAGTCATTGTTGTCTTTGAAAGATTAGATTCTTTGAATTTATTATTGGTACAGGCTTCGAGTTCTTCACAATCCCCACTATCATTTGTAGCTCCTGGCCATAATCCATGAATGGCCCATGATTATCCCTTATAATTTCCAACATTTTCTTTATAGCATTATTTTGTTAAACAAATGCTTCCAGGCCATGATAGCTATACTAATATATATTTTAGTTTACCTAAAAGGTATAGAACATATTTGGCACTTCATATGAAATACCAATTGTAATCAAAAGAAGAATTATCAAATTTTTAGACATTAAATAAAATATTAATATTATTTAAAACGATAATAATTAATATAAGATGTTTCTATTAGTTATTTTTATACATAAACCATTTTCTCTTAATAATATAATTATTGACCATAATCATAAATCTACTATATTGCAAATTTTAATTAATTGAAATAATTGTAAATTTATTTATGCAATTTTTGAGAATATTTCTGCTTTAATTGCATAATATTTTTTTTCTTTTTGAATTTATAACTAAAATTGATACAAAATATAAATTATTATTATAAATAATAGTTTATATAAATGGACATATACTTATTATTTTCAATAATAATGAATTCTTATTAAATCTATTTAGCCTTTATTCTATTATCTAGTACAAAACATCCTTTAGATAGAATAAAATTTGAATTAATGATTCTATTATATCAATTTAAAATATTTATACCTTCTTAAGTATTATTTATTAGATTTAAAGAGTTATATCATTAAATGAACTATGTATTAATTTGATAGTTAACAATTTTAAATTAGCAGATGAGGATACTTAAATTAGAATTCAATGAATTAAAAAAAAAAATATTCTAAATTATTTATCAAAATTATAGTTCAAAAAATTCTACTCTTTTAAATAATGTATGCTATATATTTTTATTGATCAATATATTACTTAAATTATAAGATATGCAATATTAATTAATAACTATTATTTTTGAGAATTAAATAATGAAGAACCAATATCTTTATTTTCGAAACTCATTTGAAAATAGTTTCATTTAAAAAGATGCTGAATAGTTGATATTCAATTTTTTAAATAATTTCATCTGCTTTCTCTAAATACTTATTGGATTCTAAGCAAAATTTATTTATTTATGAATCTTTGACAGCAATAGACATAATTATTTTTTATTTTTCCATAATTTCAGTCAAACGTTAATTATTACATATTCTCAATTAAGTTCTGTATTATGCTTTTACTTATTTATTCTTCATATCTGATTGTAAATATTTTAAGAATATCTTTTAATTAACTTTAGATCATAATCTAGATTTTTAGGTTTCTTTAATAAAATAGATATCTCAATCCTTAAGTAAATCTTTAACTAACTTTGTTTTCATAAATATTTCTAAATAACAATTTGGAGCAAAATTTAGTATTCCTATTATTTATTCTTATTTATTGTCTAAACAATTTTGAATTTTTTATTTGGTGAATCAAATTGCAAGTTAAGTATATATAAAGGCATTTTTCTGCAAATCCATTTTAATTTAGTGGGTTTAGATTTTAATTATTATTATTAGGTTTTTTAAATTGATTTTTATATCAATTAGAATTCCTAAAAAATTTTAATATAATACAATGGGGCAATCTTATATATTTGTATCATTGATTTTTTTTAATTATGAATAATTCCTCTATTATCTCCTATTTAAAATATTTGTAAATAAGAACATTTATTAAAAAAATGATGTATATATATTTTTTTTAATTAATTCTTTGGATTTCTTTTATGAGGTTTTTAATTATAAATACTGTAATAAAGGTAGTTATTCTAATATTGTTTCCGTTTATTATAAAAGGTCACATATTTAGTTAAAATAAAATTTAGTTATTTTTTGTAATTATTCATATATATTTAATTTTTATTTAATATTCTTAAGATTAGAGATTGATAACAAATCATTTTATTCTATATTTAATTCTTCATTAATAGTATTTTCTTAAAATGTTAGTTTTGAATTTCTATATTAATTTTTCTAAATATAGAAAAACTTTTTAATATAATTGATTTTTCTTATTGAGATGTAAAATATCCTAAAATATCACTTCCAAATACAATCTATCTTAATATTATGTTAATTTTAACTATTATCCTTGTTTTAATTTGTTAAGATGTTAATTCGAAATATTGATGATTTAGAAGATACTCAATTTTCTTTTTTGTGCTTAAATAATTATTTGTTATCGAACATATAAATTTTCTACTGTTTGATATATATTTTCATACTTATTTTCAATTTATCAGTTCTATTGAAATAAATAAAATAAAACATAAAAAATATTTTGAATAAAATAGAGCACGATTCATCATTTAATATATTTCTATTTAAAAAGAATTATATGATATTTCTGATCTAAATATTCCATAAGATATTTAAAAACTTAATTATAAATCGATTTGAAAATATTGTTCAAGATCAATAAATAAAATATGAATTAAAAGATCATTATGAAAAACACTTAAACTTAGGATTAAATAAAGGTTCGTAAATCCCCATACAAGTCTATAGAGCATAAATAAATTTCTTTTTCATAAAGAAATACTGAATTTTTTCAGAGGCAATAGCTGTATGATGATTTAAATAACTCAAATCAATTCAAAATAGAACAATTTAAATTTATTGGAACATAAAAAGGAAATATTCAGAGCAAGTTTAAGGAAGTGATTGAATCTGCAAAATCTAAATTTGCTTCATCTCCAAATAATCATAAAAATACTATTATACATCAATAATAAAACTCAATGAAAGAAATAGTTGAATAGTTGAGAAAACAGAAAAGAACTAACAACATTTAACTTAAAAATAATGAAAACAGCCTCAAAAAAATAAACTAGTTAAATTTAAATTACTTTTTGGTTATAGCAATAACCTTAATATGCTATTTAGTTGTACTTCTTGAAATGATTAGACCAGAAAGAANTACAATGGGGCAATCTTATATATTTGTATCATTGATTTTTTTTAATTATGAATAATTCCTCTATTATCTCCTATTTAAAATATTTGTAAATAAGAACATTTATTAAAAAAATGATGTATATATATTTTTTTTAATTAATTCTTTGGATTTCTTTTATGAGGTTTTTAATTATAAATACTGTAATAAAGGTAGTTATTCTAATATTGTTTCCGTTTATTATAAAAGGTCACATATTTAGTTAAAATAAAATTTAGTTATTTTTTGTAATTATTCATATATATTTAATTTTTATTTAATATTCTTAAGATTAGAGATTGATAACAAATCATTTTATTCTATATTTAATTCTTCATTAATAGTATTTTCTTAAAATGTTAGTTTTGAATTTCTATATTAATTTTTCTAAATATAGAAAAACTTTTTAATATAATTGATTTTTCTTATTGAGATGTAAAATATCCTAAAATATCACTTCCAAATACAATCTATCTTAATATTATGTTAATTTTAACTATTATCCTTGTTTTAATTTGTTAAGATGTTAATTCGAAATATTGATGATTTAGAAGATACTCAATTTTCTTTTTTGTGCTTAAATAATTATTTGTTATCGAACATATAAATTTTCTACTGTTTGATATATATTTTCATACTTATTTTCAATTTATCAGTTCTATTGAAATAAATAAAATAAAACATAAAAAATATTTTGAATAAAATAGAGCACGATTCATCATTTAATATATTTCTATTTAAAAAGAATTATATGATATTTCTGATCTAAATATTCCATAAGATATTTAAAAACTTAATTATAAATCGATTTGAAAATATTGTTCAAGATCAATAAATAAAATATGAATTAAAAGATCATTATGAAAAACACTTAAACTTAGGATTAAATAAAGGTTCGTAAATCCCCATACAAGTCTATAGAGCATAAATAAATTTCTTTTTCATAAAGAAATACTGAATTTTTTCAGAGGCAATAGCTGTATGATGATTTAAATAACTCAAATCAATTCAAAATAGAACAATTTAAATTTATTGGAACATAAAAAGGAAATATTCAGAGCAAGTTTAAGGAAGTGATTGAATCTGCAAAATCTAAATTTGCTTCATCTCCAAATAATCATAAAAATACTATTATACATCAATAATAAAACTCAATGAAAGAAATAGTTGAATAGTTGAGAAAACAGAAAAGAACTAACAACATTTAACTTAAAAATAATGAAAACAGCCTCAAAAAAATAAACTAGTTAAATTTAAATTACTTTTTGGTTATAGCAATAACCTTAATATGCTATTTAGTTGTACTTCTTGAAATGATTAGACCAGAAAGAACCAATTCGAAATGAAAATATATATATTATCAAGTATTATACTGGAAGTTTTGTTATAAAATAATATAATTGATTATCGATTAAATTAAAAATAGAAAAAAAATGAAGATGATTTTTTTATACTTTTCATATAAGTATCATAAAGCCAACAATTTGAGTTGAAATAAAATTTATTCATATTTTAAATTGAAAATTCTTTTTATTTTAAACTCAACAAATGTGATGATATATAGAGTTTACTATTTACATTAATTCAAAACTTAAATCGAAAAAATATTTATCTTGAGGTAATAATATGAATATTTATCATTTTATTTGAAATAAAAAATAACCATAATTTAAAAGTTTATAAAAATTTGGTGGAATACAATTTCAATTTTTAATATTATTATGTATAAACAATAGAGCCTAAGAAATTTATTTCTTCGAACAAATGGATTAATAAGAATTAGACCAAAAGTAAGAGTCACAGATAATTACACATTATCACTTGTATATACACCTGGAGTTGGTCATATATGCAAAGTAATTGAAAGTGATCCAGATCAATTATATGAATTGACAATCACCAACAATTCTATTGCCTTATTATCAGATGGATCAAGTATATTTGTAAATTATTTAGAATTTAACCTTGCAAAACCTTAGAAAATTATTCCAAATTTAGAAGCCATCAGTGCACTCTATAAAGCATTTTATGATATTAATGCTTACCCAATAGTACTAAATAGAAATATAATGCCAGATATTTCTGATTATATGTTAGTAATTGATAATTTGTCTCCAACATATAAAGTATAGAATTTATTTATATGAAATTAGACTATTGTATTAATAGATATTGAGAAAAGTTTGGCAAATTAAATTATATCAGCAGTAGAGAGAACAAAAATGGATTGTAGTGTTATAATCTCTAATTCAGATGATCTTAGAGAATAATTGTATGATGCTGCATTAATTAAGGCTACATTAGATTGTAGATCTATTTTAAAACCTTCTTAATTGGAAATAGTAAGGAAAGCAATAATTTAAATTGAATTTAAAAGATTACCAAATAATTTAACTGATACTTTAAATTCTGCTTATGCTGAAGGTATATTAGAAATTTATAAAAATAAATGGTATCATCACACAATAAGAAATATTGAACCTGTTTAATTTATAAAACAACTTAATGATCTCTATATTTATGGAGATATAGCATAATATAATAAATGGTCAGATGGACATTTACTTTAAAAAAATGATTTTTATTAAAATGCTTTAGAATTACATAAAAGATATAATGGAATGATTACAATAGAGTTAAAGTTTAATACTAGATCATTAGAAGATTTATTTAAGATTTATGAGTCATCTTATAGAAGAGATGAACTAGGATAATTGCGATAAATGCTTATTGATGATTCAAATAAATTAAGAGAGATAACATTTTAAAAAAATTATGCAGCAATTATAACAAATGGAACAGCTATTTTAGGATTAGGAAATATAGGTCCAGCTGCAGGATCACCAGTAATGGAAGGAAAATCTGTTTTATTTAGTGCTTTAGGAGGTATTGATTTAATGCCAATATGTTTAAAGGAAAAAGATCCTCAAAAATTAGTTAAGATTATAAGATTGTAATAATAATAAATTGATATTAATTTTAGCATAGCTCCAATTTTTTCAGCTATTAATTTAGAAGATTTGAGAGCACCTGATTGTTTTCCTATTGAAGAAGAGGCTGTACATAATCTTCATATACCATTAATGCATGATGATTAACATGGTACTGCTGTTGTCAGTTTAGCTGCTGTTATTAATTATATAAAATTGACAAAAAAGAATATCAAAGATCTTAAATTGGTAATTAATGGTGCAGGGTATCAAATATTACCAATTTACTAATTAGAGCAGCAGGAGTAGCTATTTGCAAATTATTACATGGACATGGCATTTAAGACATTATTATTTGTGATACTACTGGTATCATTTATGAAGGAAGACCATCAAATATGAATGAATTTAAAAATGAACTAGCATCATTTACAAATAAGAATAAAATTAAAGGAGTTTTGACAGATGCAGTTAAAGGAAGAGATTTATTTGTAGGTGTATCAACTGCTGTAATATAATATTTGATTTTAATAGGGAGCTTTGACTAAAGAAATGATTAAGAGTATGAATAAGAATCCATTTATTCTTGCTTTGGCTAATCCTGTACCTGAAATAATGCCTGATGAAGCTATTGAAGCTGGAGCCTTTATTATTGCAACTGGAAGATCTGATTTCAATAATTAAGTAAATAATTCACTTGCTTTTCCTGGTATTTTTAGAGGAGCTATAGATACTAGAGCAAGAGAAATTAATTTAGAAATGAAAGTAATTAAATTAATTATAATAATTAGATTGCTGCTGCTTATGCTATTGCTAATAGTATAAAAGATTCTGATCTTTGTTCTACAAGGATATTACCAAGTGCATTGACAGCAGATATTCCAGCTAATGTTGCTAAAGCAGTTGCAATTGCTGCAATGTAGACTGGTGTAGCAAAAATCAATATTGATCCAGAGAAAGTTTTCGATTAGGCTAGGAAATTAATAATGGAAGGAAATATGCCATCTTTGTGAATATTTATATTAAATATATTTTAATATGCAATAAATTGACTTAGATAATCATCATTTAAACTTCTAATTAGAACTACAATATGCAAGAGCAAGATAAAGATAGAGAAGAAGAAATGTCATTCTAATTGTATTTGCTATTATGTCTATCTTTTATGTATTCATTCAACCAAATCAATATGCTAATAAATAAAATCAAATTCCATATTCTTAAAATAATAGTACTAATGATGCTATCAATATTACAGAGACTAATTCAACTTTACTTGAAATTTAAAAACATTTTGAAATTTTAGAAAAGATACTTATTAATTAATTTCAAGGAAAATGGACTGATTCATAATAATCAGAAAATAATTTAGCAGAAGCTATTTTTTATAAAACTTCATATCAAAATCGCTTTCAAATACAATTATCATTGAAACTCATAGAAGGATAATTCTTAGAAGATTATTATAATCAATTTTCATTTTTTTTGAATTCGTCATAATTAGTTTTACCACTTGAAGACAATAATTTTGTGTTTGAAAATGTTAGAGGATCTTATAAAAGATCTAGTGTTTTTGAAAATGATGAATAGAGTACTGAAATTTATGCTAATTTAACTATGATATTAAAAGAAAATAATGTGGAGAATGAATCAGAACCTGTTTATAATTTAGAATTGAATGTTCATTATACATTATATTCAGAAACATTCTCTTTCAATTCTAATCTTAATATGATAAATGTAAAATATATTCATAAATTAAGATAGATAACAAAGCCATTATCTATTCTACAATAGTTTCTGTTCTAAGTGTTATTTAATTTATTAGTTGTCTTAAATTGATGAAAGACTTTATTAATGAAAATAGAATGGCTTCATAATTCAGTCTCTTTATATTTGTTTTCCTTATGATCTTTGATGGCTATTTAGGAATTGTACATTTCTTCCTTGCAGTATAAAGTGAAGTAAATAAATTATTTTTTATTTAGTATTTCTTAACACCTGCTTTCCTTGAATTAGTTTTGTTTTTCTTCTTAGAATTAAAATTAGCTAAACACATTTGGTAAGAAAGGTTCATTAATCTACAAGATAATTAAAATTTAAGAA